TCTCTCTCTCTCTCTCTCTCTCTCTCTTGATCAGATGGTTTTACAAAATTATTTCTTTTGTCTTTTAGCGATTGGAAATATTTCTCCTCATAGTTCCGTAAGTAATCCAGTTGAAAATGTTTTCCAGGAAAGTTTAAGAAATTTGTTTTAAATTCAAATTTTCTATCTAAATATTAAAAATCGTAAAAACAACCATCGCATTCCAACGAATGCGACAAAATTTCTATCTAGTGGTACGAACTTCCTTATCGCATTGCTCGTTGCAACTTTAGCTTCGTAAATCCCTTGTGTAATAATGGTAATGCTCGGTGCGATGAGTCAAACTTCTTTTTCGCAGGTCATTGCTCCCCGTTTCAGCTTTCGTCTTTACGACGAGGTTACGTATTTATTAATACCGTCCTGCTCGTTGAACCCGCGATTGTGCACAGATCGCGCAGGTATTTACATATCTTTGTGCTGCGAGTGTACGTGTATTTAATTTTTGTTTAAAATATTCGCGCGATTAAGCAAAGATATTCAGGTGAATTCAGCTCGGCTGGAATGGCTCGTTGTATTCTCAAAGTAAGGAACTACTGCGCTTCACGAAGGAGGGGCCAGCTTACATTATGTACAGTAGTTGATGTGCTCTGTTGAGTGGGAAAGCCCATTTGTTGATTGGCCCATACGTCTCTTCTGATGGGCCAAGTTCCCCGATAAGAAGATGGTAATCTGTGGCCCTGCAGAGATGTGTCCGGTTTGCTCTCTTCCTCGCTGCTTCCACCTCCCTCATTGTAGCGTTTATTCCTTCTTGCATAGATCTGCTAAACATAATCAAACGTAATTCCTATTAGCCAGTAAGCTCTCTGTATCGTTTCACTTTGATGTTTCACCAATCAAGAAATTGTATCTCCATTTCATCCAAGATCTACTCGCACCCACTGTGCCACCAAGTGCAAATCGCTTCCTTTCTTTCTTTCAAAACAACAGACAGAACACACACGCGCAATTCGAATTTCCCGCTTGCCGGGGAAGGGAACGGAAGCCACTGGAGGATGATAATTCCAGTCTACTTTATCCGACGCGAAATAATCAACGCTCGTGTCCCCCTAAGCGGCTTACGTTTTCGCGCTGGAGGAGGAAAAGAAGGAAAAAAGAAAGAGAAACGTGCGAAATAGATTCTT